GGGGAAGCCTGCTGCTCATAGGATGGCGTCGGCAGCTTGTAAACTGCCGACAAAGAGGAATGGACGGGGTGGAATGGTCACTTTCCCAACGACGGTAAAACCGAGTACTGGAACGGCTGCGGCAGGTGGGGGAGAACCCGCCAAAGCGAATAGGGTGAAGGACTCTGGAAAGATCATGGATGTATCGCCATGTCAGTAGCAGTACTGCAGAGCAACCTCAACAACTCCCACCGGGCACAGGACATTATGTTCCAAAGCCTGCCGAAGTGGGGAGTTAGGTTGGCCGTGATGGCGGAGCCGTACAAATGCCCTGAGTAAGGATACCGAAGGACCTGAGTAAGGATACGGCTCGGTCGCAATATTTAAAGGAAAACCGACGGTAGGGGATCCCCACTTCTGTGTGCTAGACCAAGGTAAAGGATTCGTCGCGGTTCTGCAGCCCGCGGAATTCTAAAAATTAACATTTTGAATAACTTTTCTTTAACAAACATATCAATGTTTCCAAACACAGCTTCGTTTCCGAATATATTTACAAAAAAACCTGTTGGTACTAACACATTGAATTATGTTCATATGTCTGTATCTGTAAGACAGTTGTAAGCACATTTAATTTTGTTCACAATTGCATATGCTAGAAGAGACCAGTTTGTTTGCAACATTCGTACATGTAATGATATCTTTTGCCGAGTGGAAAAATAACTATTTTACGCAAGCAATGCCAACCATTTCACAGCGGCTGGATTAAAAACTTTAACTCAAAAATCCAAATAAAATATATTAATAATATTCATATTAATTCAGTTATAAATAGTAAGAAAGTAAAATCAGTAAGAAAATATAAATATTGTACGTTGACAGATGGAGATACAATATATTTGCGTTATTAGTAGTTCCATGTTCGATGCAATCGCAAATAATACTGCGATAAGAAGAGAGTATTAAGGGCGACTAATAAGGGAGGTCTTCATTAATTCTTCTAACCCACGATTCCTACACTAACGTTCAAATTTTTGCTCTAATGAAATTGTAACGCTTCCGCCGAATCGTCGGACCGAAATAATCACGGAAAATCATGTTTCTGCATTCGGCGGACACAAGGGAATATCAAAAACATATAGAACATACGCGAAAGATACATCACTGAAAGCGGATTTAGTTTAAAATTTTGTAAACGCATGTTCCAACTGCCAATTGCAAAAACTCACCTGCCACGACAGCTTATGACTCTGACAGACACTCCCGGCCAAGATTTCGATAAAATTAACAACTCCTGCCAGAAATAAGAATATATTATCAAATATTATCAAAATGATCAAAAATTATTATTCAGAATAATCTGAATCAGAGAAACTTAAATAATTAAAATGCTTTTTTTAATAATTTCAATACTTCGAGAATTAAAAATTATGCACTAAATTCATATAATGTCTCAATGTTTTCCATTTTAAGGGTTTTCTTCATTTTCTAGCTTTGTTGGGTAATTGTTCCGTTGCTAAAAGACAGAAAGCTATAATTTTTTTTTTAAAGAAGAAAAAGGAAAAGAAGCTTAAATATCTTGACAGCGACTGGATATCAAGCGTACTTTCTAATCCTTGTTTAGAAATTCCATACGATATACAAATAGAATGAAAAATTGTCTCACTGTTTACTCTTTGGAATGTGCGAGTAAATAGTTCATTTTTTGATCATATTCGTAATTTTATTGGACTGTGTTGGAATATAAATAAACGAGGAGTCGACAAGACAAGGTGGAGGTAACACAGAACACCATAAGATGTCTAACTACAGACAAGCCAATACTTCAAGTTAGATAAACGACATGTGAATGTAAATACGCTAAATAGAATCCACTGGTGAAGCAGTTCAGTTCAGTTCGGTTCCTGTCCAGTGAATTGCAACAACAGTGAAGTTATTACCCTGAGAAAAGTGCGAAGTGCATGTGAGTAAAACTACTCTCGTTTCGCCAACGTTAATACGACCGCCGTGATTCTATCAGATAAGATATAATTCCCTTATCATTGCGGAAAAATTATTTTTATTCTTAGTGTTACTTAATACTGCTACTTCGACGTATCTATCAATAAACGTATCTATCCAATTTCTTTTAGATTTTCTACAACCTTCTTTTCTTGCTAACTCGAGTTTATTATTTATTATCTTCAGCCGACAGAAAATACGAAGTACTCTATAAATCGAATATAAAAATGTAAAGAGAAGTTTCGAAGGAAAAGAAATATTGATTAACAATTTTTTTTTTTTATATTATTTCCGAATTGTTCATTTTCCGTGATGACTGAGATAGCATTACACACTTCGCCATTATGCAAATAATCAGTGTTAACAAACAACCTTCACATACTCTTATTTTTGTATTAACTTTTCAATTTATTAACTTCGTTTACTTCTTGATTAAGTAAGTTGTTGGACTTTTTGGCAAATACGAATTTAATAGCGCGACAGTATCGCGTAGAAGGAGTTGTCAATTTTTTTATTATCTTTAATATTTGTAAAAATACATCAAAATACCAAAAAGACTTTCATGAGAATAATTTTCATTTAAAAATTTTTGTCTACTTGTATCCAGTTTGTCCAGAATCATCACACCTTCACTTTAATTTTAAAATTAAAATTTAATTTAATTTTAACATTAAAATTTAAAATATCATTTTACAATAAGTATAAACTTCCAAGTATTTTTCTTCACATAAACGGTTAACATTATGATCTATTAAATGTGGGAATTCCACTTCAGCTGAAATTTCCGTTATTATAATTCCCAAATGATAATACAATTCTTTTGCAACTTTTACAGCAACTTTATAATTTTTTTATAATTTCTTATTAATATGCTTCATTGAATTACAAATGACGTTATATTGATGTGTTGTATCAGCAAAAGCTTCTGTAATTCTAATAATTGTGATAGTTTCTATATGCAACATGTACGAGTCTATTTTGATTATATACTGTATCTAAGAAACGATCGGTGCTGACAATATTCGAGATGAATTAATTTTCTAATATTTATTAAATAACTTTCGACTAGCGCCGATTAGTCAATTCGTATAAAACGCGGGCAGAGAAGTCGCAATTTCGTAAGTTTGAGGCGATTTCGTCATTATGTTCATTTCCATATTATGCGATTTGGACGTCAGAAAAAATTGTAAAAACTGTTTGTATTCCTGATTATCACTTCGTTTACAAGCAATGCAATGGACACATTTTCCAAAGAATATTCCATTTACTAAAAATTAAAAAAAGGAGATATAAAGTATGTGCTTAAAACAAAAACGAAGTAACAGTGGAAGTATAAGCAATGTCTTGTTGCATTACACATTCCATATTGTTTTGAAGTATATCATTCTGTAAAAAATTATTAATAAACAGAATTACTGTACAAAATATGTACAAAAAGAATTCTTGACGCAAGACACTACTGCATCTCGGACTCGCATCGAATTAGTGTATACATTTGGTCACACGTATCCGTGAACTAGGTACCAGTGCAAGAGGTTAAATAGTTCTGCAAGTGTTTGGCAAGGTTTTCAAGCTGTCAGGAACAAAATAAAATTACAGCATCATCAGGTCAATTTACAATTTCGTTTAACAGATATGATATTGATGTGGAGGTTGAATAAAATTGAAACTGGAATAAATACGAAATTCCAACAGATGGAGTAACGTATGGAGAACAGAGAATCTGATGGTAACCAGACTTATAGCCATCATTGTCTAACAGAATAGACCGGACAGAATAGACCGGAAACCATCCAATGCTTTTTCGTGTTTTGAGAGTCATCGTATCATATCGATTTAAGTATTATACTACAGTGTTGGACGGTGTTGCCGTTTCCGCATCGAAAATTATTTATTGAATTGAATCCGGTAACACTTTATTACGAATAAACATACATATGTACATACAATAATCGTAATAAATAAATGCGAATTTAGTAGACATTATTTATGAAGCTCTATCATCGCGTAGTATGATTTTTCACAAAAGTTTTGCATTGTTTTTTAATGGATCTCTACGAATTTTTTCTATATATTATTCCGAATAAAAAATAATTAGAGCATAATATCAAAAACAAATTAATATTTCTTGAAATGCTTTAAATTTTATACAGAATGCGGCTTTTACATGAAAGCATAATTCATTATTAATAAGTTTATAAATTTATAAATTTCCTTTTTAATCCTATGATGTTTTAATTTGTCATTTATTTCTTTTAGACTGGCAAGATGAATATTTAAATTTAGATGCAGTGAAAAACAGGAAAAATTTAATTTATGCACTTTCCACTAGTGGAGGTAAAACATTGGTTGCAGAAATATTAATGTTTCAAGAACTTAAGAAACGAAATGCAATATTTGTATTGCTATTCGTTGCTACAGTGAAAGAAAAAATAAGTACAGTACAATTTTTATAATAATTAATTACAAAAAGTATATATTTATTTATAACTTTTAGGTTCGAGCAATGACACCATTCGCACTTAAATTAAATTTTTTAATCGAAGAATATGCAGCATCAAAAGGAACTTGTTCAGACGCGGATTCGCGGATACGAAGGTCGTCTCCGTTCGGTTCGCTTTCTTTACGAACAGTTATGTTAGTAAGAATAGTTGGGGCTGTATTTTCTTGGACTTCGACGTAGGTTTCGTGATCGACTAATATGCGCGATTATAATATTAACTAAGTCACGAGGTTTGATTCTGATGTGACTTACTCACGTTAACTGTAGCGGAATCGAACTAACGGGCAAGAATACTGAGGAACTGTTAGAAAATAACTGTCGAGACGTGTCGAGTGAGTTGCTTATATATCTCGGAGAGTGTTTTGTTCAAGCGTGCTCATTGAACCCGACTTTCCCGATCAGGTAAGCTGCAATGGTAAGCCTAATGAAGTTACATAAATTATGGTACAATTTATGATGGTTAAAAACTTATATTACGGTACTATTTATGGTGGGTACTGTATATCACTATTGTGTCTAGGTGATGGTTGCGAGCATTTTGTTCCTATTAAAAGTTGTCCTTCGTAGGCTTCGCAAGGTTATTACCGCCGCAGTTCAGCACTTCTCGGAATATTGACCTTAATAAATTGGAAAGATGTTTGTTGGGGCACCTTCGTGCCGTGTAATAGGACTTACCCTCCAAAACAGCGTTGTAAAAAAAGTAGCACATATATATGTATTATAGAGAAAGCATTAGGTTTAATAAATTTAATTTAATAGCAGAAAATCGTTTGAACGAAATTGGTATTCTAGTTGTTGATGATTTACATCTTCTTGGAGAAAGTGGAGGCAGAGGAGCTACATTGGGAGTTCTTTTAACAAAAATATTATGTTAATGATAATATTCATATTATTGCAATGTTCAACAATAGTTAACTTAAAGGAAATAGCAACATACATTCTTAAATGCGGAGTTATATACTGGAAATTTTCGTCCTGTAGAAATTAAAGAAGGTGAAATGTGAAGAAAATATTTGATTACTTGATTTTAAAACGAAGAATTATTAACAGATGCAAAAAAATTAATTATCGGGTAAGTTAATATTTTACCGTTTTATATAATTATCAAGTAATTATTAATTATTATTTATTTGTTTTCAAAGTATTCAAACGACGTGGCAATGATTGATCTTGATCGGAGGTTTGGTAATAGATGTAATTTCAGAAAATTCATGTTTCATATTTTAGTCGAGTCGGGAAAACTGTAAAAATGTTGCTCTGTTATTATCTAGAATTTTATTCAAGTCAGAACTTCATTTTATATTTTAAATACATACGTATTATTATAGATTTTATTAATTCTGCATGTAATGATTTTTGATCATTCGAAGATTACAAAAAAGTTGAAAAAAGAAAATTTATTAAATGCACTTAAAAGCAAAGAAGGCCTTTGTCCTATCTTACACAAAACCATAAAAATAGATATGGCTTATCATCACTCTGGCCTTACATCTGAAGAAAGACGATTATTGGAAGATGCTTTTAAAGCAGGTACTCCGTATGTAATACGTTGTACATCAATATTAGCAACTGGAATAAATTTACCAGACAGGAGGGTACTTTATTCATTATTTGTTTTTCAAGTAGTAGTTAATTATTGTC